CTCAAACCCAGGACAGGCCCCCAAACCCCCCTAAACACCCCAAACCCAGGACAGGCCCCCAAACCCCCCTAAACACCCCAAACCCAGGACAGGCCCCCAAACCCCCCTAAACAGCTCAAACCCAGGACAGGCCCCCAAACCCCCCTAAACACCCCAAACCCAGGACAGGTCCCCAAACGCCCCCTAAACACCCCAAACCCAGCCAAGGGGGGCCCCAAAACCACCCAAACCCAGCCCAGAGCTGTTCCTGAGCCCCCCTGGAGGACCCTGGGTGCCCCCGGGGTGGGCCCCTGAGGGGGTCCCTGGTGTGCCCCCCCCCTCCCCAGCGGGTCTCTGGTGTCCCCAGTGGGGGGACACCCCCCCAGTGGGGGGTCCCCACTCACCTCGGGTCCCTCCTGTGCAGCCTCGAGGCACTTCTGGGCCCCCTCGGGGGACTCGAACTGGGCAAAGGCAGAGCCTGGGGGGAGGAGGGGGCTGACAGTGAGGGGGGCACAGGGGGAGCCCTCCAGACACGTGGGGAAACTCCTCCCGTGTGGGAATCAACCCCCCCCCCAAAAACGCGAGCACCCCCCAGGGTACAAGCCAGGCCAAGCCCAGCTCTGTCGGGTCCCGGTGCCCCCCAGACCCCTCCCCTGCCCAGCCCTCCCTCTGGGGCACTGGGGTTTGGGGGGCAGCAGCAGGTGCCCCCCCAGGACGCCCCCAAGACCCCGCCGGGCCCCCCTGCCCCCCACCTTTGGGGGTGCCGGTGTGGGGGTGCAGCACCAGCCGGACGTAGGTGACCCCCCCGAACCTCTGCAGGGCCTCCTCCAGCGCCTCCTCCTCCGTGTCGAACGACAGGTTCCTGGGGGCACCGGGGGGTCAGGGGGACCCTGGGGGTGCTCCCCCCCCTCCCAGAGCCCCCCTTGGTTTTGGGGGTCCCCCCACTCACCGGATGAAAACGGTCCTGCCCTCGCCCACGTCCGAGGGGCGCGGCCGCCCCCCCTTCGCCCGCTTTGGGGGGGATCCCCCCTCTGCAATGTTGGGGGTGTTGGGACACCTGGGAACCCCCCAGGAGCCCCCAGCCCCCCAGGAAAGACCCCCCTCCACAGAAGCCACCCCAGTCCCCAGGAAGCTTCCCCAGATCCCACAGAAACTCCCCCAGA